TGCAATTTTGATTCGAAATCAAACCTTGTGATTACAAATAGCACTCCTGCTACATGTACGTGGTTGTGCGATTTTGAATCACGTGTTTGATTTCGAACCAAATTGCACTCCACTCAGTTCAATTACCATTTTAACTAATAATAATGTAACTACCATTGAAATTTTTATACCATGAATTTAATCCATTATCAAACAATGTGCAATTGTTAATAATGATGTTTAAGGTTAAATTTCATGAATCGAGACAAAGTATGCAGCCTCATATTGGCTGGTGTTGAAACCAATGGACCTACGAAGCTTTTACATCATTACTTGATTTACAATGCATTGTGGGGTCAGTTTCTAGAGAAAGCAAAAGAAATCTGTCATGTTTTGTCCCAAACATATCCTACAATGCATTGTGTATACGGTACATGACATAAAAGAGGTCTATTGAGGGTACATGACATGCCAGGTTATGGCTGCAGTTTCTGGCGAAATAATAAGAAATACGTAGTACTTACTTGATAGATAAAGATCTTGAAAGTATTTTTTGAGCATCATCATCAAGTGGAAGGACTATTTCAAGAAAAGGACTCTAAAAATGATAAAATATTTAGGGAGGTCCCATACCCCTATATACCCTCATTCACCACAGGAAGCCCAATCTCAAAGATTGAAGGAATACATAAGGCTTTGTATAGGGAATATTGAATTATTTGATATATGAGAGATAGAGAAAATAAATCAAATCCTTCGTGGATTGTTTCTTGTCCTCTGGCGGTTTTTTTTTTTTTTCGCCTGTGGTTTGAGAAGACCTCAGCTAAAAGTCAGCAAATCAAACACTTAAGTTAGCCTTAACTTACTACCAGAGAACAAGAAAGTTCAATATAACCTTTCAATATCTACGTTACCTCATTGATATAACCACTTTTACAGACCAACTCAATCCCAAATAACGAAGCAATAGAATGGAGCTCCTAGAAATCACAAACCATGAAAAACCCCACTTAACAACGCAGGACAAAATACTGTACTGGAAACAGAGAAGCTTCAATATTAAAGAAAGTATGTCAACTTACCGGAACTCTAAAATCGACATGTTCTTGAGCAAAAAGAACTAAAAATGTAGAAGTTTCTTCATTTTCGTCCGCCATTATTTTTTTCATGAGCAAATCCGCTGATCTTTGCACAGGTAGCCCACAAGAGTAAGGGAAATTGGCGTATGGTAATCAAAGTTTCCAAAAAATAACATTTGAATTATATGATGAAATTACGAGAAATTATAATTAAAATTAGAAAAAAATCAAACAAAAAATAGATAAAAATAAATAAAGAATACCAATAAAAAGAAGTTAAGGATTTATCACATGTGCATGTCAGGATTCGAACCTGATATCTCTACACCACCATTGGATTTGAATCCAAAGCTATAACGAGTTGCGCCACAGGACCACGCTCATTTACATAATAATAGACCACTTGACACTTTCGCCGAATAGACTACCCCAATTTGATATTATATTTTCGATAGTTGCCTAGTTAGTGCAAGGGGTTATCCATCAGTGTCTAGGGGCCGGATAGCTTCTCCCTCACTGGCTTTTTAGTTAGCGCGAAGTTAGGACCAATTATCGGGATAGCATGGAATAGCCGAAATCTCTACCCGGAATGTAAAGCGACTTTCAGGCCCGAAGTAGGCCTTTTTATGATGATAACCGCTCTATTCTTGTCAGACCAACACTCATTCCATGATAACTGCGCACTGATTTATCAGTACCTATTAACTCTACGAGAGCGTATTCTCGGAGAGGGAAGCATTCTGACTTGCAGTGAGAGGCATTTGAACTCGACTTATATAGAGCATGCAAAGAGCATATCAAACGTTATGACATACACTTCGAAAGTGACCGTCGCATATCAGTGATCTCAAATGAATCACAAAGTATCATAAATGTATGGATTTTTACCACACGCGATTGGTGCATTTACACCGTCCAACAACCCGACATCGCTTCCTGCAAGCGAGTTCAGTTTATACAAACTGCAAGCTATTTAAAGAGAATAAAAACAATTCCCCCAAACAACCAAAAGAACAAACCAAACAAAAACAAAAACTTAAATGACACAAAGCCAGTACAACGTTAATAGTGTTTCAAAGAGGACTTACAACTCACATCATACAATCGCAATTTGTGAATCCTTTTTCGATGTAGGCTTAATTATATGACATTTTACAGTACGTGAATTGCTAATTTTGCTAATTTTTTTAGAGAAAGACCAAAATTATCAAAAAATTAATGGCTTAAAAAATTGAAGCTAATTTTATTGTGTACATTTTCAAGCACATAAAAATAGTTTTTTAGAGAAATACAAAAGATTGAAAATGGATGGAGTTTTTAAATCCATTTATCNTCAAAAGGAAACTTTTCTTCGTGTGAAGTTTCAGGTCATTTGGACGACTATTTAGCGAGTTTTTTTGGTATTTTGTAACGTACCTCCGTAAGTTACTTAAATTCAGCGGACTACTGTGCAACCTTTACTAAATTTAAGTAACTTACGGAGGTACGTTACAAAATACCAAAAAACTCGCTAAATAGTCGTCCAAATGACCTGAAACTTCACACGAAGAAAAGTTTCCTTTTGAGTTGCCTACCATCCAAGAGTACCTTTATTTTGATCAATTTAAAAAACTTATATTTCAACTTGAATTATCACACGTTAAGCTATTATATTGTAACATATCCTGTATTCTAGTGTGGTCGAAATGAATAATAAAAATGATGATGATAATGAAGGACAATAAAAGAGACAACGTAGGATGTTTTTTTAATTTTTTTTACATTTTCATCAAATTCAGCTAAAAGCCGCCTATTGTAGAGCTTGGGCTACCTGTGGTCACAGTTCTCTAGGTTTGCTTGTCGTTTTGTTGGATAGTTTATGCTCAACTTACGCTTAAATTGTGAAGATATCATGCTACAAAAATACCTTGACAAACGGTAAGTGATTTTGATGTCTTATAGGTTAGTCCGTATTGAAAACATCGTTTTAAAAGAATGATTGCTTTTCATCTTTCTAGGTTGACATCAGTCAAGGTTAATATGACCAGATAGTCAAGGTTTGGTATCAAAATACCACTAAAACATCATCATATTTACATGTAGTTTGTTGACAATTAACTAATCTTTAGAATCTTGTAATTCGCTTTTATTCGGTATTCAAGCGTTTTTGAAAAATTTGCTATTTTCTTAAACTGAAAGTCTGAAAACAGTGCAATTTTCACTTCGGTTTTTAAATTTCACCGTTGAACATAAATTATTATATGTAATAGGACTCCATGCTGTCCAATTAAGAAATAATTGGACGAGGAAAATTCCGAGGACTGCCAAAAATTGGACGAGGCCGTGGCCGAGTCCAATTTGGCAGTCAGAGGAATTTTTCGAGTCTAATTATTTCTTAATTGGACAGCATGGAGTCTTATTACCTATTAATTATATAGCCACATATTGATCCCAAATAGGTAAAAGCCAACCACAGCTTTTAACAAAAACCCAATTGAAAACCTGTCCAATTAATTTCTTAATTGGACTAATTTCTTAATTGGACAGGATTCCAAAATTAACGAAAAATCCTGCTTTTACCTATTTGGGATTAATATGTGGCTATATAATTAGTCATTGCTAATTGAACACGGAATTAACGGAATAGAACAGATATACCGTTTTTCAATAGTTTTGAAAGGAAAATCTACCTCAGATAGGATTTCAACTTTTGCTTGAAAATTAACTGACTTCACAATGCACCTTTGTGACAATATTAACTTTTTTAAATTTTAATCAAAAGACAACAACAAAATCAATTTCAAATACCAAATTTTCAATTAAACATAAAAGAGCAACAATAAAGATGAAATGTTTCTGTCATAATTCAACCAAACTTTGGTTGTTTTAGTCCAATAAAAGAAAAAAAGACATGAAATCCATGTTCAATTTTATTGAAGCTAAGAAATACCAAACTAGCAAAAATATTATATTTTTACTATATCATTGAACTATATTATTCTACAACTATGTACAATGTATTAAAATTACATTAAGATTTTTATTCAAGCTTTCNGGCCGAGTCCAATTTGGCAGTCAGAGGAATTTTTCGAGTCTAATTATTTCTTAATTGGACAGCATGGAGTCTTATTACCTATTAATTATATAGCCACATATTGATCCCAAATAGGTAAAAGCCAACCACAGCTTTTAACAAAAACCCAATTGAAAACCTGTCCAATTAATTTCTTAATTGGACAGGATTCCAAAATTAACGAAAAATCCTGCTTTTACCTATTTGGGATTAATATGTGGCTATATAATTAGTCATTGCTAATTGAACACGGAATTAACGGAATAGAACAGATATACCGTTTTTCAATAGTTTTGAAAGGAAAATCTACCTCAGATAGGATTTCAACTTTTGCTTGAAAATTAACTGACTTCACAATGCACCTTTGTGACAATATTAACTTTTTTAAATTTTAATCAAAAGACAACAACAAAATCAATTTCAAATACCAAATTTTCAATTAAACATAAAAGAGCAACAATAAAGATGAAATGTTTCTGTCATAATTCAACCAAACTTTGGTTGTTTTGGGGCCAGGAAAAAAAAGACATGAAATTCATGTTGAATTTTGTGAAGCAAAGAAAAAGCAAACTTGAAAGAAATATTGTATTTTTACTATATCATTGAACTATATTATTCTACAACTATGTACAATGTATTAAAATTACATTAAGATTTTTATTCAAGCTTTCTAAACCCAAGAGAAAAAATCCTAACAAGAAAGTTTTTCATGTCCTCTCATTTGTACAAGTTCAGTTTACTGAAACTGAAAAAATCCTATCACGTACAAAATGTCAAAAACTCAGTATCATACAAAATTATAAAATGTACATTTTGATATAAGCGTATATTTTTACAAATTATTAAAGAATATGTAAGGAATTGTAGAAAACTAAGAAATGATGAATAAATAGTTTSATGTGATTTTTGTTGTGTTTGGTTTACTTGTATCACTACAACTCTACAAGAGTCAAACATTGAATTATCTACTATATGACTAACCAAAGACCAGGATATTTATCACTACAGAATTGTCTAGTTTTCTCTTTACATTTAACAGATATGTTATAATTCCAAGACAGGTCTAGCAAGGTGAGATTACTGGGTAAGTGTACCATGATGTCATTCACTCCACCATCAGTTATGTTATTACCCTGCAGGTATAGCTTGGTTATTTTTGTCTTTTGTAAATCTTTACACAAACACTTTACGTGTTCATCATTCAAATTACTCCACCCCAGCCCCAGTACTTTGATTGAACAGTTTGTAATGAGTGATGACATCAATCTCTTTATCCAGGTAATGGTTATCGGTGACCAACCAATGTACAATGTGTGTGGTGGTGATGATATTGATGTAGCAGTGGATTCTACTAACATAGCGAGTGCATCACAGTCCGTGTCGGTTACACCACGATATAATTCAATCCACCCATCACGATCCCAGTATCTGTAGTCACGGTTTGTACTTAGTTCTTGTCTTGTCAAGCGTTTGTCTTGACCAAACTCGTGCAGGCATCGCAATGACACCAGTCCTAGTCTATTATCAAGGATTGTATTTTTTATATGTTTACCTAGACACTCTAGTAGTTCTACCATTAATTCATTATTATYATTTAAACCTAACAAACCGCTCATGAATGTGTACACCATTTCAGTGCTTTGTGCCGCCATTACACCTTTCTTCACCAAATACCGAGCAACAAGAAACTCTTGAACAGTGAAGTGTGTGAAGCTATATTCACAGATTGGCTTTTGAAATGGCGAATTATTACTTGAAACAGGATAACAAAATATAAGATTGCTAGATTTTATGTACAATAATTCATTTTCTGATAATTTTAGATTTTCTAAGTCTTGTAAGGTAAAACTAAATCTCTTTTGTTCAGTTAAAAGTGCCGCCAACTTTGAAAAATTGTCGAGCGTTTTGTCAACAGCCAACGAAGCGGCTTTGTCATCTAAACTTAGTAATGCTCTATTATAATTAGTTTCTATACATTGAATTACTTGAGAATAAAACTCTGTTAGTGTGAGAGGACATGAATTATCATTTTTTTTGATTTTCCACTCGATGAACACACACATCAACAAACAGCGGAAAGGGACGCGACCAAATGAAATGTAGTGCGCGCTTTCTTTAACCTTGCTAAGTGCCAWGTTTTTTACTTCTTCTGGTTTTGTACTGAAATATTTCTTGACATACTCTATAACTTGCGATTCTGAGAAACCTGATATTTCGACATAGCGATCAAAGTCAAATGTTTGGTCCAAGTCGTTGGCYTCKCCCGGCCTAGARGTAASCATGATGACAGAATCGCTCAAGATCTTTTTYYGGATTAKTTTGCTGACCAAGGCTGCTACTGGCATTTTGGCTTTACCATCATTTGGAAATTGACTTTCAAAATCTCCGACTATTTTCTTRCGTTCTTTGTATTCATCAAAGCCATCGAGAACAACCAAAAACTGCTTTGGATGCTSAATGATRTACTCCATTAAGCTGACTGTCTCGTCTATCATGGCACCTTCGTTYAACAGAGGACAGCGATTTAGCAGTTCTCTGAGGCTCAACRTTTCTTCTTTTGGCAATTTGTTCAATTGTCTAAACGTTATGAGGTAAGTAAACTTAATGTCAGGGATCGATGTTGAATTTGTAGCCAAATCTCGAAGAAGTTTCTGCGAGAACAGTGTTTTYCCTACGCCTGGTTCACCTGAAAGTAATATTCTMTTGACGGTAGTGTCTTTTTCGTCCTCATCAACAAAAATCTCACTACATTGCTTCATTTCGGTCAGCATCTTACGATCAGGGTGATATTCTTSMGGTCTTTGAATTTGTTCTCGGCRTCTTTTTTTCCCGTGGTGAATAACRAGGTTCGTAAAAATGTCATCGGTTTTGATTGTTTCAGCTATCTTTCCTTTTGGTAGTAATTCTGTTTGCTTTATTATAGCATTCTTGAGATTGTGGAAATACGATTCCATATCTGAAAGGAAAAATGCACTATAATTAAATAATAATTCAAACATTTCAACGAACAATTTGCTAGGATTCTGTGCGGAAGGTTGAAATATTTGAAAATTACCRTTAGTACRCTTTCTGCTAGTCAKGTTGGATTTTCTTTTGTTTTATCAATATTTATACGAGCCGTGTTTGTTAAATTTACAAACAATTAAAGACGATTCTCGAACAGCGACATCGAACAGAAGATCACGGGTTCGAATCTCGTCTTTTTTTCTTTTTAGATATAATATAGTTGTTATAGTCATCTTGATTTTCGGAAGATTTTTTTTAATAATTATTTTTGAGCCATTATTTTGATTTTACGTCATAGAATATTATACTCGAATAGCGTCGAACTTAGGATCGCAGACTTGATTCTCGACTCGCATTTTTTTTTCTTTCTGTTTAACTGAAATGAAGTTGTTATATTGATTTTTTTCTGTACATATTCGTTTAACAATTATTTTCGAGACATTATTTCGATTTTTACACAGACTATCGTACTCGAATAGCGTCGATAGGATCGCGGATTATCGACTCGATCACTTCTAAAAAGCGATTCTTTTTTCTTTCCTTTTTTTACTGAAATATACTTATTCTTATTTTTCCTGTAGATATTTGTTTTACATATTCACATTATATATGCAAATTTATGTCAGAACACGATTAGCAACGGCAAATCACAGACGTTCTCTCCCCGATTTTTTTTGGAGGGGAGAGAAACGGATGTACACAGGCCATATATATACTAGTAACTATCATTTAAAATAACAAAAAACGTAAGAGAAGCATTGAAATTCTCATCATGTATACATAAGTACAATGGGWGGCATACTAAGGTAAATTCCTCTCACGTTTTTTCAAAACCTCTTACGTTAATCACAAACATAAATAAATAAAATAAATAAATGAAATGCAATTTGACCACTGATTTAATTTTAATATAACGTAATCATGGTAGGTTCGCAATCTGTTATTTGTATTTTACTAATTATTCTTTGTTTTCTTTAGTAGGTTTATAAAAACTGACATATTTTTAATTGCGCAAAAATCAGTTTAGTATCCCAGTGGGAGTAGACATCAGTTTTATGATATTTTCTTGACGTTTATGAAAACATACGAAAGAGATAAGTTTATAATCATCTAATGTTTTTATAAATTAAAATTTACCTTCAGATGTTGGTCTTACAGGCCTAGTGCTGGGTGACGTCTTTAGAAGGTTTTCCATTTTTTCCTCTAGTCCATGGATTGCCTGCAATAGTCTTTCCTCGTTCTCGGCCCATTCTTTCAAGCAYTCGTTGTAGTATTCTTCATCTTCAGGGTCCATTGATTGCGTTCTCAGACTATCAATAGCTGCCATGTCT